TTCCAGTCATTAGGTATGGAAGCCGATTTAAAGGATAGGTTACAAACCAGATAATAGCTCAGTAATTTCCCATTTAAGTTCTTTTAGAACCCTTGGATGAATGCCATCCGGTCCCGGAGATTTGTTAACATTAAGTTTTTCTATTTGTTCCAAAACCTCCTCTAATGACACTTCAATCCGGGACAGTTCCTCAGATTCATCACCCACAAAGGACGGTGCAGATTCAGGAATCTCCCCAACGTCCTCAGCCGTGAAGACTGAAGCAAAGAAATCATTTAGTTTCTCCGCAATGGCTTTATCGTCCTTGATTGCTCCTTTTATAGCTCGATCATCTAGGGGACCCACAGGCTTTTTAGCAGGCTTCCTGCTTCTAATGTACTTAAATAACATCTTGTTATTTCTTATTGAGTTTTTGGCTAGCTGTTCCTCAAAATCTTTTTTTGCTTTTCTTATTACATGTTTACACTTGATTTGACAGTGTTTATGTTCCTTAGCTTTCTCTTTTCTTACACACACACACACACACACACACACACCTCTGAGGGAAACTAACTCCTTAACTGTAAAAGGTACGCGTGCGCGCACACACACATACACACACACACCCCCGAGGAAAACTAACTCCTTAACTGTAAAAGGTACGAGTCTGACAGGGAGATAGTGTTAGCTCCATCTAACTGTAAAAGGTACGCGTGCGCGCACACACACATACACACACACACCCCCGAGGAAAACTAACTCCTTAACTGTAAAAGGTACGAGTCTGACAGGGAGATAGTGTTAGCTCCATCTGCTGACAAGGGCGGTTGAAGAGGAACTGAAGGGGGGGAGGATTGAGCCGCGTGCCAGCAATCAGGCGAGAGTGTCTCGAGATGCCTCCTGCATATGCATAGCCCAATAGGGGAAATTGCTTTGCAAGGCTCCAATCTGTGGCTCCGGGCGACCCGTCAACTAGAGTGGAGCACCCACGGGGACACTACTCAAAGAAGAATTTCCTTTTTTAAAATTGGTATGTAGGAATTTAGTAGACAATATGACACACACAGATCTTTTAAACATAACATAACAGCCATAATGGGTCAGACCAAAAATCCATCTAGCCCACAGTGGCCAATGCCAGATGCCCCAGAGGGTGTGAACAGAACAGTGGATCATCAAGCAATCCCTCTCCCGTCACCCATTCCCAGCCTCTTACAGAGGTTAGGGACACCATTTCTACTTATTCTTGTTAATAGCCATTGATGATCCTAGCCTCCATGAATTTATCTAGTTCTTTCCTGAACCCTGTTAAAGTCCTAGTCTTCTCAACCTCTTCTGGCAAGGAGTTCCACAGGCCAACTATGCACTGTATGGGGGAAAAAATCCTTTTGTTTTAATCCCGCTATTCATTTCATTTGGTGACCTCTAGTTCTTAGGTTATGGGAACAAGGTAAAAAACTTTTGCTTATTCACACCAGTCATGATTTTATAGATCTCTATCATATCCCCCCTTAGTCTCCTCTTTTCTAAGCTGAAAAGTCCTAGTCTTTTTAATCTCTCTTCATATGGGACTTGTTCCAAAATCCTAATAATTTTTGTTACCTTTTTCTGAATCTTTTCCAATGCCAAGATACTGTTTTAAGATGAGGCGACCACATCTGTACATAGTATTCAAGATGTGGGAGTACCATGGTTTTATATAGAGGCAAAAAGACATTCTGTTTCCTTTTTTGACTGCCGCTGCATACTGAGTGGATGTTTTCAGAGAGCATATTGTATGTAGAGTTGGAATTAGTTTAACAATGTGCATTACTTTACATTTACCAACATTAAATTTAATTTGCCATTTTGTTGCCTGATCACTTAGTTTGGTGAGATCTTTTTGAAGCACTTCACAGTTTGCTTTGGTCTTAAGTATCTTGAGTAGTTTAGTATCATCTGCAAATTTTGCCACCTCACTGTTTACCCCTTTCTCCAGATCATTTATAAATAGGCTGAATAGGATTGGTACCAGTATGGACCCTTGGGAGATACCACTAGTTACTTCTCTCCACTCTGAAAACTTACCATTTATTTCTACCCTTTGTTTCCTGTCTTTTAACCAGTTATCAATCCATGAAAGGACCTTTCCTCTTATCCCATGATAACTTATGTTACTTAAGAGCCTTTGGTGAAGGACCTTGTCAAAGGCTTTGTGGAAATCTAAGTATACTATATCCACTGGATCCCCCTTGTCCACATGTTTGTTGATCCCCTCAAAGAACTCCAGTAGATTAGTAAGGCAGGATTTCCCTTAACAGAATCCATGCTGACTTTTCCTGAACAAATTATGTTCATCTATGTGTTTAATAATATTATTCTTTACTACAGTTTCTATTAATTTGTCCTAAAACTAACTAGTTTTAACTAATAACCCCTTCTCAGATATCAATTTAGGAACGTATTTCAAGCATGTAATAATTTTAAGCATGTGCTTGAAAACCAGTTATTTCAAAGTATATATTTAAACATGTGCTTAAATGACTTTCTGATTTTGGGCCTAATATTGTAATGTACATGTGGACATAAAATTGGAAAGAAGACAAAGGAATATATTGGAGGTCAAGTCCATGTTTTATTTTTGCTGCTGGACACTAAATAAAGGAGAATTATGAACATTATTTTCCTGAAAGAGTTAAAATATTGTATACAGTAGGAAGGATCAATCTCTGGAAGACTAAATGTGTCTCAGAGAATGCACAGAAAAAAAAAGCAAAAAATCAGGGCAGTCCCATTTCATTTGCTATGTATTCGGTGATTAGTTTCCTTTTTATTTTAACAGCTGCATTTTAAAAAATCATGTAATTAATTTTAAAACTGCGTAAGTTAGAAACACCAAAACACATTATTCTGCTACTTTTCTGCAGACCATATTATGCTGAAGACACCTCTGAAAACTTGGTTTAAACGACCTCCTCAGCAGTGAAGGAAATCTATGGCTAAGGTAAGGAGCATGGATACCTCACTTTCCTGGGCCCTTGCCACTCATCTAATCATCCAGAACAATCAGCATCCAATCATGTAACTGCAGTCTGTATCATTCATCTGCATGTCCAACAGTGCTCTGCAGAAGAGCTAAGCAATATCATTGATTTGCTATCAAGTAGCAAGGCTCCTGGAAAGCTGAAGTTCATAAGCAGTTCCATTTTACATAGTGTAACCAAGCACATAGAATTGGCTTAATCTTCTCCTAAGGACAAAAACTTACCTGCTTTTACATGTCTTGTATTCTACTTTAAGAATTGGTTTACAAGATTCAGGTTTTTTCCCATCTCTTTGAATTTTTCCTGTGGAAAGAAAAAAGTTATGAATCTTCCTAAAATTGGTAACAGACTGGATAGTTCTTCATATAGTACAATAATGAACTTTACAGTCATTGTAGATGGCAGTGTACCAATACTATCTTCCACTACACCTTGGATATTAATTTGTATGAAATAATTAGATTCCTTATACTTTTAATCACATATTTTCTTCCTTCACTGAAAATTACTAAAATAAGAAAGTCTCGGGGGGTAGCTGTGCTAGTCTGTAATATTAAAAATAACAAGTAGTCCTATGACACCTTAGGGAATAACAAATATATATATGGTATCATGAGCTTTTGTGGGCCAAATCCACTTCCTCAGATGAGCCTGAATGGAGAGAAAAAGGGAGGCCCTCAGAATATCTAATACTTTGTACTTTCCACTCTCCCTTCTTTTTCTGTTATACAGTGCTTTTTTTGTAAACACATGAGCTTAAATTATGTTTCCAACAAGCAAAACAAATCAAAGCTTGTCTGAAGCAGAGGGCATCACCAAAAAACCGAGATGAGCTTTTTTGAGTCCTCTATTGTAAAATGTAACATCGCTATTTGATTTTGAAAATATTCTTGTAAATTAAAGACTACAGGAGAAATGGCTATGAAATAGGAGCAGAGACCAGATAAAATGAGCTAATCAGAGATATCTGTAATAAAATCCTCTCTTTCATCCTTTCCCTGCAATATACTTTTAAAAGCATATTTCTTACCATGTGGGATTGTTATCTGAAATGGTCTGCTAGGACTTTTCAAGTTCCACAGAGTCAAGCTGCCATCAGAGTGACTGCACATGAATTGCTTCCCCTCATGATGCCAATCAACAGAATGAATAGCCTTCAGAAATGGTAGTGAGAACAGGCAGGAAAGTTATTATAAGAACACAGTTTGCATTAGCCAATACAGCTACATTTTAATGTATGATTTTCAGTTATCCATATCCAATGGCATTTCAGCAATTTGCCTTATTAGTCTGCAATCCAGCAACAACAACACCCTTTTAAATTATTTTCACTCCAATTGTTCATCTGATCAGACAAAGAAGCGCTGTACTGTACATGCTAATCTAAATGTATGGTGACTTTTCTTAGTGTGTATCATTTTTCCATATGCACCAAAAATTTTATCTAAAAGTATTATTCAATTTTACTGAAAACACCAGACACAACCGAAAGCTCAGAATGTGCTAGTGGACACTTGCTGCAAAGACAGCCTGCAAAATTTCACAAAGGTACATAGGGGTTATGAGACGCATGGCTCACCTGTCCTAGGCTTGAGAAAGTCTTATTTGTGTCTCCTGTGAATTAGTTCCCTGAAATCATTAGTCTCTGGCAACAGAAGCACTGTCTTCCAGGACTCTGCAAGCTTTGCTCTCTCTGTACAGGTTAGTGATAAGACACACCAAAGCCTGGAACCTCTCAGCTCTGATCTTATAATCACTCTAGAATTATATTCTCAAAGGAATAATACACCCCAGCTTGCAAGATTCATCTTAGGATGCCCACTCACTTAACACATGCCATTTAGATGTATGTATAGTGAAAGCAAGAATAAGTTTATCATCAAAGAACAGAGATTCAAGTTCTAGCAAGTGAGAATATTGGAAAACATGATACATATAAAACCAAATCACAACACACCTTCTAGAGCTAAACTTAACTAACAAGGCTTTCGTTTATCTTCTACAAGTTAGCTTATCCCAAGTCCTTTTCTGAGTATTTTCAGGCAGGTTGGCTGAGATCCCTTCTCATAAGAGCAAAAGCCTACTCGCAGCTTGTCCTCAAAGGCTACGTCTACACTATGGGGTTTTTCCAAGATACTGGAGGTATCCCTGGAAAAACTCTGCCACGTCCAGGGAATGCGTCTAATCTTCCAAAAAATTTTTTGGATTAGCAGACGCATTCTTTTGGAAGCCCTGTAAACCCTGTTTCATGAGGAAGAAGGGCTCTTCTGAAAGAGGAGGTTTTTCTGAAATTTGGCGCACTGTAGATGGGCCACATTTCAGAAAAGTCTGTTCCAAAAAAAATCAGAAAAAGGTACACAAATTGCAGAGCGCAATTTGCATACCTTTTCCGAAAAGAAGTATAGTGTAGACATAGCCAAAGACTGAAGGAATAAGTAAGGATCCACCTAGACCCCAGATATAGTTTCAAAAATTCATTGTCTCACTCCTAATCAGGATAGCCCTGGCTGGTTTTGTTTTTGTATTCCAGTATCCTGAAATAGCCTTGCAGTCTAGACATACCCTAAGGGGGGATACGATAGAGGTCTATAAAATCATGACTGGTATGGAGAAAGTACATAAGGAAAAGTTATCTACTTGTTCCCATAGCATAAGAACTAGGGATCAGTAAATGAAGTTAAGAGGCAGTAGATTTAAAACAAACAAAAGGAAGTCTTTCTTCACACAATGCACAGTGAACCTGTGGAACTCCTTGCCAGAGAATGTTGTGAAGACTACGACTTTAACAGGGTTAAAAAAAAGAACTGGATGAATTTATTGAGGATAGGTCCATCAATGTTTATTAGCCGGGACGGTAGGAACAGCATTCCTAACCTCTGTTTGTCAGAGCCTGGGAATGGGTGACAGGAGGAGGAATCACTTGACGATTACCTGTTTCTGTTCATTCCCTCTAGGACATCTGGCATTGGCCACTGTTGGAAGACACGATACTGGGCTAGATGGACCTTTGGTCTCACCCAGAATGACCGTTCTTATATTCTTATGTAATTCTCCCAATGCCCCTTCCACAGGTCTTGGGTGCGGAGAAGAACCTTTAAGATTCCCCTTGAGAGTTGGAAGAATACTTGTGCATGTGTGGACATGGGAAAATGTTCAGGGCTATGTGTGAGTCCCCAGCATGTGTATGTACGGGAGTGAGGGGTGAAAGTGATGTATGGAACACAGATCTAGAGGTCTACTTTGGACAAATTTTTAGGCCTGAACCAGAATGGAACCAGACCCAAGCCCTCCTGCCCTAACTTGAGCCTAAGAAGGTTGAATCATTTTCTTCCTAGATTCCCCTCACTTCTGAGTCAGTGCCACTACCACTCCCCTACCAGTAAAATCTGCTCTCCTCTTTCTGCCAATGGAGTTGGCATAACAGTGGCTGTGTTCCCTGTCCCTGCCATCTGCCACCCCTGTGCTGCACCATGGGTGTGCTGTGGAGGGAGAGGCACTGTGACTTGTTGGCACAGGACAGGGTGTGGGGGTGCAGGAGTCAGGGTAGTGGATGGGGTAACCAGTGGCTGCTCTTTGGAGCCAGCCCAGGGTGGTGGGGGATGCATACCCGGCTGGTGGTTGCTCCCCAGTTCTGGGGTTCTTGGTGCCTGCCTGTGGTCATTCTGGAGTATAACTGTCCCTGCTATCAGAGCCCTCCCTTTCTTCTTGATGAGAAACAGCTGGATTCCAGGCACATCCGATTGTCCTGGCACAACCAAATCCTTACCTTGCTTTTAAGTTATAAGAGGAAGCAGCATACCACATTTGGTGGCACTAGCTCTTACCGTTTAGAATTCACAGACATATGGACAGACATAGACAGACACACAAACTCTCTCAAATATATAGTAGATTATTTCAATTATACTTATATGTATTAATTGATGCTCAAAGTATTGGGGTGTTTTTCTCCAATCTGAAATTAATTAAATTTCTTACGTAGTTGTCTGAGCAAAAGTATCTGTTATTGGTAATAAATACACTTGCACTCCTTTCACATACTTGTAATTTTGCTCTATGTTCATCAATTTAGCGGCATACAAAATTATCTTCCTATTTTGTCAAACTAAATTCTTAAAATTAAGTAAAATTCATTTTGCTTCAATGTGTGGGCTATATCATTTTAAAAATAAGTTAAAATATCTAGTAACTGATGGATGACTAATTCAATGGAACAGGATGACATTTTCAACTGTGCCACTTCGTACAAGTTGAAAACATTCTGGAAAGATGCGATAAGGAAAAGCCAAATGTGTATGAGAAAGATTAAATAGGTAGACAGCAGAAAGAGTAAATGAGTGCACAGAAAGAAAGAAGCCAAGTATGTTGCTTGAATTATGAGAGAATGGCTATATAGAGCAAGGGTGTGAAAATGGAGTGACAACAAAAGGATGCAGTTTGGAAGTGAGATGGCAAAGAAAAGATGAAAGTTAACGTGTACAATACTAGGGGAAAAAAAAGGAACAATCAGAACCAACATACAACTGAATCTGACAATGTGAGAATATGCCATATCAATTCAATTAGCAGAAAAAGGAAATATAGCATATAATTTCTGCTTAGAAAATAATTAAAAACTAAAGAAGCCAGGAAAAAAAAACTCAAAGAGCAAGTGACCTCCAGAAAGGAGAAACCTGCAGAAATTACTTTTTCTTCACAAGCATCTTGTATGAGTCACTATCAGAAATCAGACTAGAATACATCAAGTTAGTAACCCAATTCCTATGCTCTTGATGCATTGTCTATACTGGCAAGCTTTGTCGAGGAAAAATGCCTTTTGTTGACAAAACTGCATACGTATTCACATTGCAATGTGAATTTTAGCAGGAAATATACCCATTTTCATCAACAAAAATCTCCTAGTTCCACAAGGGACTTTTTTCTTTTTCCCTCCTTGTGTTGTCAATGAACATGCAGTACAGACATGTCAAGGCATTTTGTTGCTGAGTCTGGCCTCCAGGAAGTAGCCCACAATTTCCAAGCAGCTGCTTTGGTCAGCAATTTGAACTCCACTGCCCTGCAGTCAGGTGACCAACTACCCGCCCCATCCCCTTGCAAGTCTGTTTTCTGTGTGAGTTCATTGGAGAGGATAGCGACTGTCTGGTTTCATCCACATGGTATTTGATGCAATGCATAAGATACATCATGCAGGGCTGATTTTACAAATCTTGGTGCCCTATGAAGTATAAGCACTTGGACATCTGTACCCCAGCGGCTGGCTCAGTGTGCAGTGATCTCATGCTATCTTCCCACGTGCCCATGCCTGGCCATTGCACCAAATGCTGCCACTGCCTGGACTGTCGTGGAGCTGTTGGATCTGATCAGCATATGAGGACAGAAGTTTGTTCAGTCCCAGCTCAGAGTGACCTGTAGGGACTGAGACACATACAGGCACAATTCTCAATCCTTGCGTGAAAAGGGAATGAGCAGGACGTGCTGCAGTACAGGACAAAGATTAAAGAACTCAGAGAAGCCTATTAGAAGGTCTGTGAAGTGAACTGATGCTCCGGTGCTTCATCAAAGACCCAGCGCTTCTATAAGAAGCTGGATGTAATCCTTGACAGAGACCCCACCTCTGCTGCCAAGAACCCCATGGGTACTTTGGAAAGCACAGAGGCAGTACATGGCAGGACCTAACCCAGAGGATGAAATAGTAGATAACAAGTTGAGATGGACAAGAACCAGGGGCTCCCTCTGGGGTAGCCAAGTATGTCTGGCAGCCAGGAACTGTTCTCCAATGGTCTGAGACATAGCTAGTTTGAGCAACCACTTTCCAGGGACCAGGAAGTAGGGGATGAGATACAGCATAAGTGGCTGTGGCTTGGGGATTGCAGGTCTGAGGACATGGAAGTGTGGGAGGCTGGTTTTGTTCCTGTGAGCTGCACGTACCCCTGTGTAGCTAATTGATATGGCTGAGCAGATTGTTGTTGCTCACTGTGATCCTAATGGAACCTTGCAGAGAAGCTACAAAAACGTTTCAAGAGGGACCTGTGCATTTTCTGCCGCAGATTCTATGGCAGTGCAGCTTTGTCCTTTTCCCCTACTGTAGGACAATAGCTCTACCATTAATCAATCACTTGTGCAGGAACTAAAGTGGAACATACAGAACTAGGCA